CTTTGCTGCATTGGGAAGAAGCAATTTCCTCTCTACCTTGTTTTGACATGTTTCTGAATGTTATTCTTCCCCCTCTCGGTCTGGCTGAGGGCGGAAGGGTGCCAGGTGCCAGGTGCCAGGAGGAACTGGCTCCTCACTGTCCCTCCGAGATGGGCTCAGTGTCCTGTTCTCTCAGCCTCTCATTAATGTCCCTGATGCTATGCCAACAATGCTGATTGCAGCCAATTCTCTGGATGCTGTTGCTCGCTGGTGATGACCTGTGGCTCCCTTGTACATTTGCACAGCTCATGGAATCTTCTGCAACAGCTTTCCCAATTGAGCTGAGATATTTGGGAATCAACTAGAGCATTTAATGTCATACATGGGCAGTAATCTTCAGAGATTAATTTGCTTAAAACCTATGTAAAGAAAGGGGTCCCATTTGCCCTGTTAGGAGCAGGGACCATTACAATATATTACTGTTGAAAGTTGAGTTAGCACATAAATTTTCATCTCCTCTCAAATGAAGATGTATTTCCGTTGATGTAATGCCAAAATGCCTAATAATGTTCTTATAAAGAGTTCAACAAGCTCTTTAACCTAAAATATATATAAATATATGTATTTTTCCAAGTGCTCTCTTAAAATTAGTCTCCTGCTACAAAGTAATAAGAATGATAAATAGAGCCACCCCACCCATCCTCATTTGTGAACACAAAGACTTTTCTCTCCTGCCATGCCATCAGTTGTCTTGACTTTGGAGCTTGCAAGGCCCTGCTTTGGTGTTTCAGAAGGCCCAGAGATAAATTGGATGCCTCTGTGTGCACCATGCCCTCTACAGCCAGGAGGGTGTATACTGCACAGCCAGCAGAGGGAGGGGTGTTCCTGCCTTATGTGACAGTTCCCCTACTCTCGGTCTCTCAGAGGCCTTAGAGGCACAGCACCTAGCCCATCAATAGCCAGCCTTCTTGACTCGACTCCGCTCTCAGCCACCCGGGAAGGACAACACTAGGTAGAACAGATGTGGGGACAGGAGCTTCCCCATCCCCATCCATCACAATGGAGCCTCGTAATGGCGGTGAATGATAGATAAGCCCTGTGGCCAGCGTTTTTCTTTCTTTCTAGGTGACTCCAAAGGCATAGTGGAAATCCGAGTATCTGGTTGGGAATTGAACTGCATAGAAACAGATTTCTGCTCTTTTCCATTTTCATATCATGACTAGATTAAGTACAGTTGCCTGAAAGGATAAAGGAATCAAGTTTTAGTTTTCATTTTTATCATTGCAAATACATTTACATTCCACTTTTTTACAAATGCAAAGAGCAGGCAAGCCACTTTCAATAATTTATTTTAAAATCAATGCTAATGAGGTTATGTCTCGTCAGTGGCCAAGTTTTACAATAAAGTCTGATTTATTTAGAAAAGATCTTTGGTGTAGCTTCCCATCTAATGGTGGTGGGAAGGAGGTGGAGTGGCAGGCACAGTGACCCTCCAACTTCGGATCCAATTTGTAATTCACAGCGGAGATCTGACCCAATTTACATTGATTAGAATTGGGAGGAAGAGGCAGCTGTGCACAGACAGCGGTGCTGGAATAGCCCTTGCCGCACAAGTGCCTGAGCACAGCAAATTACTGGACCTTGTGATTGAAGACTTTGATATCAGACAAGGAGCTCTCTCTGTTTAAATTGTTGGGGTATCTCTATACTAAGGAGGCCCCCAACTCTTGATCTGAGATTTTCAATCATAAAATTAGTCCCCCATCAACAAGGAAAAGCATCACAGCAGAGAGAGGAAGGAAAGAAAAGGAGAGATAGGGAGGAGGGGAGGACAAGCCATGAACCAAGAGTGATGTTTCCTGGGATGCGTTTCAGTGTGTTCTCATTCCTGTATGTGATTCCACTCTGCAATCTCACGTCTTTGTTCTTTATGGCAGGGTATTGGGATCCCTACAGCTAGGCTCAAGTTAGCCGTTTTCAGCTACTTGCTCACGTATATAGAGGAAAGAACTGTTGAGTCAAGGTGCACCTTGCAGAACAGACATCTGTAACTCTCTCACTCACACACTTTATCCTGGGAACTGACGATTGGTTCTGCAAATGATCAATCGCTTTGTGTTTCTTTTCACCAAGAACACTATCGTTTTTATGGGAAACGAATGACTTCTTTAATGTTCGGTAGTGTTCTAATATATTTTAGTGTTCTTTCTTCTTAATAAGCTTGATCTTTGCTTCCCACTCACACCTCTCTTGCATCCTGGGTCTCACCTTGCCCTCCATGCCTTACAAAATTCCATTTAGTGGCATAGCTATGGAGAAGCAAGACTAGAAAGTACCCTGAGACCCAGAATGTGCGGCCAAGAGAGACTGAATACTCAACCCTCAAAACATGGCTTATCCTACCTTGTCCACTGTAAAAATGTATGTGTGTGTGTGTGTGTGTGTGTGTGTGTAAGTGTAAGAGAAAGAGGAGAGAGGAAGTAGTATGAATAACAAGAGTAGCAAACTGTATTTGTATTTCTATTTTTATTTGTTTTGCCGCATATGTAAAGTGGCTAGCCATGATTGATTTTCGCATGCCTGCCTGCTTTATAAAGGCCCAATTCGTATTGCATCAGGTTGGAGCAAGCCTGAGATGAAATAAGTTAATGAGGGTAAGAAACTTCAGCCAATCATGATGTGATTTTGACCATATAAACACTTGACTGGAGTTAGACACTAGCATTGACTTAGAACCCATTGTGAATCTACAGCAATTAATTAAAAGGCCATTCCGACTGCCCTCGGGAGCTTCTACCCTAATGAACAAGGCAGGCTGAGGAAAAACAGTAAAAAGATAACTACAAGCCCCAAGTCCTAAGAACATAAAATTATGTACATGACTAGCCTCCCATATAGCTGACCAAAGATGGATACATGAAGGACTAATTAATCACACAGAGTTTAAACACCCACTTCAGCACACACAGAGGGACACCCTAACATCCTTTCTTATTTTAATTTTTATTTTTCATAATACAGTTCCGTAGGTTCAGGGGTTTTCCCTTCCAACTTCTCTGTTTCCCTCACGCAACTGTTTTTCCTTATATAATTACTATAGTCCTTCAACAACAGTCACAGTCCCTCATTTTGCTATTTAGCTATATCATGACATTGTAGGTATGGACAATGGCAGAGAGTCCGGCATCCTATTGTCAAGATATATTTAACAGTTTCGTTGGAAGGTAGAGATGCATACTGCAGTGTATTTTCACTTCTCGATATGATAGTCTCCATTATACAGTTCTTTTACATGACTATATGTATATACATATTTGCCTATATATCTGTTGATCTTGTATTTTGCATGAAGGTTGCCTTATATCAGAAAGAAAATAGGATATTCGTCCTTCTGGACACCCTAAAATCCTAAACTTGAGAGAACCTGTGTTTGGAGATTCTCTTTAAGAATTTCAGAAATCTTTCACTCTGTCTCTCTTTCTGTAAACTTCTTTTCCAATAGAAATAAATAACTATTTAAAAAATTTAAAATTTGGGGCCCAATGCAGTAGCCTAAAGGCACAAGTCCTAGCCTTGCATATGCCAGAATTCCATATGGGCACTGGTTCTAATCCCAGCTGCTCCACTTCCCATCCAGCTTCCAGCTTGTGGCCTGGGAAGGCAGTTGAAGACAGTCCAGAGCCTTGGAACCCTGCACCCATGTGGGAGACCTGGAAGCTCCTGGCTCCTGGCTTCAGATCGGCTCAACTCCCACCATGTGGTTGCTTGGGGAGTAAACCAGCAGACAGAAGATCTTTGTTTCTGTGTATCCTTCTCTCTGTATATCTGCCTTTCCAATTAAAATAAATATTTTAATTTTTTATATTTTTTTAAAAGGGGGCCTAGCACGATGGCTCAGCTGCCTAATTCTCTGCCTCCAAGCACTAGGATCCCATATGGGTGCTAGTTCATATCCCAACTGCTTTTCTTCCCATCCAACTCCCTACTTATGGCCTGGGAAAGCAGTGGAGGAAGCCCCAAAGCCTTGGTGCTCTGTACTGGCATGGAAGACCAGGAAGAAACTCTTGGCTCCTTGCTTTGAATCAGCTCAACTCTAGCCACTGTGGACATTTGGGCAGTGAACCAGTTGATATTTCTCTCCATTTCTCCTTCTCTCTGTAAATTTGCCTTTCCAATGGAAGTAATTAAATTTAAAAAGGAATTTCAGAAATAGGTCCTGAGGGAAGGGATTAGGATCGAGCAACAGGTGCCTAAATAATCCAGTGAATGGAGAACTTCATGAGGACAAAGACCCTCACAGCCCTATCCACAACCTCTTCCCAGACCCTACAGCAGTGCCTTACGCATGGGGAACACTTGAAAATGTTGGCAAGTAAACCTGGTACAGTGGCCCAACTGGTTCATCCTCCTCCTCCAAGTGCTGGCATCCTATTTGGACACCATTCCTATGCCTACAAAAGGGACCCGAAAGAAACACCTGACTCTTGGCTTTCAGATTAGTTCAGCTTCAGCCATTGCGGCCATTTGGAGAGCAAATCAAAGGACAGAAGGTCTTTCTCCGCCTTTCCAGTAAAAACTAAATCTTTTTTAAAAGAATTTGAAACAATGTTGGTGGATGAATGCAGGGAAAGGAAGCTGGTGAGAGCATTTGAAGATAACTTTTTTAACAAACGGGATGAGGCCAGCACTGTGGCATCATGGCAAGTATAGCTGCTTCCTGCAATGCCAGCACCTTCTATGGGTGGCTGTTCGTGTCCCAACTATTCCACTTTTGCTCTAGTCGGAGGAATTTCCTGGCTCCTGGCTTCAGATTGGCTCAGCTCCAGCCACTTGTGGCCACTTGGAGAGTGAATCATCGGACAGAAGATCTTCTGTATCTCTCCTTCTCTCTGGATATCTGACTTTCCAATAAAAACAAATATTTTTTTTTTTTCAAAGAACATGGGACTGCAGACCCTGGTCGCTAACAGAACATGGGACTGCAGGGCCCAGTCACTAACAGTGCTTCTTTATCCCCTCAGACGAAGAGCTTGGCGTGGAGCGGGACGAGAGTGACACCGGAGAAATGGCAGGTACGAGAACTGGCACCAGGACAGGGCATCCAGACTTGCGACTTGAGAAAGCAACACTCTCTGAGGCCACAGCCAGGACCAGATTGCTAATTACAGTCCTGGTGTCTGGCCCCAGAGAAGGAAATACCTGGACTTTAGGAAGCAGCTATCCTCAGTCCATCCCATTAGTGTCCCTAGAGCCCCTGAAATCCATCCTGGAGAAGGTAGGAAGCCCAACCAGATATTTATTTTTTCCCTATCAGTATTGCTTAAATCAGTGCAGTGGAAATAGAATTGCCTCATCTCTAAGAGATCAGAGGATTGACAATGGAAAGGATGGAAACGTCTCCTCTCGGAGAGGCCCGGAGATTGCGAGTTCAGAGGGGAATGGAAATGTGTCAGATCTTGAAAAGTGAACACAGGGTGAAGGATCGAGTCGCCTGGCGAGGCTGACTTCGGATGGCCTGCTTTGATTCCAGGCACATTTGGAAATGAATATGTAACAGGTTTCTTGAATACGGAATTGTATCTGATTCATCCCAGGCTGTTAACCGTGCTCTGAGCTGTTAGTGAGCCCATCCTCTCTGAGGTCAAATGCCCGCTGTGAAGTGGACTGAAGACCCCAGCCTAGCAAAGGAAGGCTGCCCCTGCCATGGCCGGCTGCCCTTTGGCCGTTTACCAGTCAGTGGGGACCAACCCTACAAGCTGGCTGACTTGCCGTCAGGCTTTGAGACCGAAGCCCAGGACTTCTGTTCTTTACTCCTCCCTCCCCTCATGCTCCCCCTCCATTTTCCTGCCCCACCTCTTCCCATTAACCCCTCTCCTCCCTTCCTGGCACCCTTTCTTCTCTTCTTTATCCATTCAGCAAAGTTCTCTTTCCTTGGCACCTTCTCTACACCCTGGAAGTGAGTACCTAAAAGGCTTCCTGAAGGACCCATCCCCCTAACGGTCCAGTGTCTCCCGGAGCAGTGAAATGACAGCAGAAGAGGCAGCATCGAAAGTCATGTCTCAAGCAAGGGAGAGGGGTGGCGACTGAGGAGCTGTGAGGAAAGGGTTAGCACTAAAAGCAGTGTCAAGGTTGTAGAAGAACCCAGACGAGTCATCAAGGCCACGCTGAAACCTGCCTACTCTGTATGTGTAGAATTCCAACGGTAAATATGCCCTTTCTCAACCAACATCCATGATCTGTGCTTCAGGGCTGGGGATGACCGTCAATGTTCTTCAGCCCACATTGCCATACTCTCCTTTCTGCTAAACACTGAACTTCTGCTTCAGCCCCTCCCACATCTCATTTCCTCCTCCCGCCGTTGCTCTGGCTAAGGTCAGAACTGGTGAGCAGATTACGTATTTCCTATTCCAACAGCTGTAATTCAAGCAAGTTTAAAAAAAAAAAAAAAAACTTGGGTTCCCCAAGCTTTGCAGCCTGCGCAGCAGGTGGTGTTAAAGTGTAGTCGGATCTGAATATGTTTTTCTGACTCACCCTTCCCACCAGTTATAATGATCGCAATGACTTTGTGATTAAAAACAGAAGGACATTTTGCACTCTCTGCAGAATGTGTGAGGCGGGAATTTTTCTTAGTTGTGTTTACTTATTTATTTATTGAATTTATATAGTGCCTTTTCTGCAAAGGAGCTATAGAAGCAATGACAAATATGTCACATCCACATATCATCCCTGGGTTTTACAACAGTAAAATACGGAGGGCTGGGGGAAGGCAGGCAGCTCCAGTGCAAGCGCTTCCAAGAGGCAGGGAGCGCTAAGACAGTGTGCATTCTATGGTAGGCAGGCTCCTCAAACTGCTGGGCTTTGGAAGAAAAGTAGAGAAAGCAAGCTAATTGACCTTTCTTTTCTTCCTTTCTTCCAAAAGAATATGCTATCACCAGCAGAGTTATCCTTAAAATACAAATACAAGGATGGGCACTGCCACTTCTTGGGAAGAAAACACCCAGATCACGCCCTGTCTACTTTGGGTAGCAGCTAGTGGCCCAAGGATCCAGGTTTCTGCCTCCCTTGTGATGGAGTTCCTGGCTTCAGGCTGGCCTAGGTCCTGAAGTAGCAGGGATTTGGGGAGTGAACCAGCTGATGAAAGAGCATTCCCCTTCCTTCTCTCTTCTTCCTCTCATCTCACCTCCCATCACGCTGCCTCTCAAATAAATAAATCTTATTTATTTTTAAGATTTTTTTAATTGAAAAGGCAGATTTATAGAGAGAGGGAAAGAAAAAAGATCTTCCACCTGCTGGTTCGTTCCCAAATGGCTGCAATGGCCAGAGCTGAGCTGATCCAAAGCCAGGAGCCAGGAGCTTCTGGGTCTCCTACACAGGTACAGGATCCAAAGGTTTTGGGCCCTCCTCTACTGCTTTCCCAGGCCACAAGCAGGGAGCTGGACGGGAAGTAGAGCAACCAGAACACTAACCGGCGCCCATATGGGATGTTGGCCCTTGTAAGTGAAGGATTAGGCAGTTGAGCCAACGCACTAGCCCCTCAAATCAATAAATCTTAAAAGCAAAGCTCCAAATGCTTTCCTCGCCCCCACCCTGCAGCAATGTTGTTCCTTGGATTCCATACTTCTCCCTGATGTAGCTGAGAACATTCTGAGGTCCATCTCATCAGAAGAGAGTGGGGAGGGAGGGAAGAAGGAATTCCAGTTGTCTTTATTGAGTGTTAATGACCCTGTAAGATGTAATTTCTTCTATTTTATTCTGTTACCTAGGAAATCCATCACAGCCTTGTCGTATTGATTGTTCATTCTATAAAGAGCTCAGTTGGCAGCGTGACTGTTAGTAACAGGGTTTTTTCAATGAATGACTCTTCAACACCTCAGACATTCACTGCGTTCCCAGCAGCCTAGGCGTCCAACACCAAGGCTCTTGGGTGCTAAACACTCACCTGTTTTCCTACACTTGATCTTAGCCAAAAGGCCAAGAAACAATCGCCTCTTTTCCTAATCATGAAAAGACACTGTCATCCAGGCAACCACAAATAAGACGAGTTCTATGCCTTCTGCATTAAAAGTCCAAGGTTTGTCACTGCTGTGTCCAGTAAAAAGCACCTCTAGGGACATGAATTGTCCTCACACACATCAAACTGCTCACCAAAAAAGAGCTCCAATAGGCTTTTGGTTGTTGTTTGCTCTGAAATACTGGACAAACTAAGCCAATGAGAAGATAGAGCAGCACACTGTAGCAGGCTGCCACACACTGGGTGATTCCTAGAGCACAGAAAGATGACCACGCCTATGCATCCCATCTCTGTGACTTCTCCCACCTGCAGAGAGCTATTGCCTGGGAGAAAGCCACCAAGGTTTTACAGCTCTGAGCCTTTGGAAACCTGAATTTCCATTTGAGCTCATCATCAACTAGGGAAAATTTGGTCCAGCTAAAGCAGTGAACTGGGCAAAGATCAGAATGAACAAGTCCACGGAATGGTCCTCACTTCCAGTCCATACTCCGAATCAGAAGGACTGTGCTCACTGCAGAGCTCAAGGGTACAGAGGCACCTGCTGACTCGGCTACAGTCTCTTTTGCTGGTCACAGCTTGGTTCTGGAGCTGCCCACTGTTCCCTGAGCTCTGGAAGGCACCTAGGCAGTTTCTGTTGTCTGCAAGAAGGAGGCAGAAAGGTGCCCAGCTCCTCTGACGTTAGGCCCTTCCCACATCAGAGATGCTAATTCTCAGCTACCGACTCCGTCACTTGTTCTAAAAGGCTTGGCTTGCAGTGGCAAATGCTTTGCAATGAGTACCTGGAAGGAAGGTAGGAGATGGTTTGTGACAATTCTTCCTGTGATATTTGGTGAGGTCGGCATTTAGCGTCCCTGAATAAGCTGCTGCTCCCCTTTTATTTTCTTCTTTAAAAAAAAAAGTGCTCTTCAGCTCAGCTAGCAATTTAAATGCAGTGATCATCCCCATTAGCTTCTCCATCATTGTAATTGTTGTTAATTGTTATAACTGTTTTAGTTATTAGTGGTGTCATTATTGCTCTAGGTCCTCTGTCTGTTTTATGCTGAATATATTAGTGCTTTGCTTCTTTTGAATTACCAGGCTTTATTTAGTGCAGAGTTACGGGTTGATTTTTTTTTTTTTTTGAGAGACATTGAGAAATGCTGGCATTAAGCTTTATTCTTTTGTTTTTCATTCCAAATGGACAGACTGGTTAAAAAAAATAATTAGATGGAATAATGTCCTCAAAATGAGAATGGGGATGTTTTGAATTAATTAAATGGTCAGAATGCTGCACCATTTCTGATCTCAGACTGCTGCCGGAGGAGTGTGAAGCTAAAGGAACTTAACTCTAGCCTCCCGCTGCTGTCACCTCCCTGCTCTGAAGAAATCTGACATGCGTGTACCTGTGTGTATGGTGCGTCGGGCGAGTTCACGGAGAAGCTGGCCCTGCGGACTTTGCAGCCTGCATGCCCTTCCTGGGCCAAGCTGCAGCCTTGAGGCACTCCCAGTCCTTCCCTCTGCCCCTCTTCAGGAAGAATCTTTGAATGATACCCAGCTGATCCGGTTTTTGTTCTGCAAGCAAAGCTTCCAAGAAACTTTCCACAATCCCTCTGATTATGTTAAATTCCCTGTCACATAGCATATTCGACTTCTTCGTAGACATCCCATCATGATTTACAAAGAAACATGCAGGTGATGGTTCATCCTGCAGTGCTGCCCCCAAGCAGGTGATAGCCATAAGAATGCAGCCGGAGCAGAATCCTCAGTGTCTAGCACTGTCCCTGGTACTCAATAGGAGCTGTGCATGTTTGTTGAGTGCAGAGAAAAGAATTTGCAGTGTTGCTCGCACACATCCACACAGAGGCCTGTTTCATATAAACAAGGAGTCTGCAGGATTGAGTCCAGACTTGTTCAGCTACAGGATGACGGCTCTAACTGGTTACCTTCCTATCAGAATCCATCTGCCTAGGGAGCAAGGCCAGCCTTTCTCCGCTGTCTTACAGTAGTTCTAAGTCTGGTGAACCCACTACTTGGACCTAAACCAGTTTCTGAATTCCTCAACTCTTGCCTTCTGTTGGCCTT